AAACTGACACAAGAGTAATCCGTACGAATGGGCTAAGACGTTCTATGGGCATCCCTGTAATTCCTTGGCAGTAATTCTGTTTGTAAGGAGCTGGCAAGTGCATGTTTCGCTAGGTTCAGACGTCTACATAAAGGGAAAAACGGAAAAAATTTGAAAGCATGTGAGGTCACCGCCTTGGGAAAGGCCTACCTTGATCTGACGAACGATCTCAAACTCTGCAGTCGTGTGTAGGTCGGTCCCCTCCTTGCGCAGAAGCAGACGTAGGTAGCGAGTAACATCACGACCGGCCAAGTCGGTTCGTTCAATCGAGTGGGGCAGAGCATAGCCCTCATAAATTGGCACGGCATGGGTCACGCCGTCACCAGAGTCAAGAACGACTCCCGTGATTCGACCGGTGGAGTACCTAGCAAAGAGGAGGCACGGTAAATTTCCCACAACCGGAAGACAGAAGGGACAAAAAGGTTTCAGATCGGAAGCAATCGTACAAAGTAACGACCATGTGAATCGTTTACAGATATAGGAACTGACAAGTATGGAACTGGAGGTTGTGATGTGCAGGCTTCACAACGCACACGAATAAGGATAGGGGAAAAACAAGTTGGACGATCCTATAGGGAAGACAAATTGTTGACGCACAAGGGTTTTGCCGTCGAACACGCGGGGGTTTACTAACATCGTGCAATCTCGCCTTTCGATTTATACGTGAGCCCAGTCACTAGGTGAACGGCCCTTATAGAGCCCAAGAGAATTTTCATTTTTTATTATCATATTTGACAACGTACTCAAATAAAAGCAATAAGTAGGACGCAAAGAGCGAAAATACGGATCGAGTAGTCTCGTACTTCAAAGCGATTTAGATGAAGCATTAAGATGAGACGCAAAAATGTATACTTTTATTTTTTTTTAATGTGCGATCGCTTTCATTTTTTCTTGGTGTAGACAGAAGTGGAATAGGTCATAAGCTTGGCTTGAATTCCAGGGGACGGAAAAGACGACTAATTAAATGTGGCCAGATAAATTATAATGGCCACAAGAATAATACTTTATCACCGCAAAAATATCAACATGCGTGAACAGTACTCAAAACTATATCCTATAGTGAGAAC